CTACATCCAAAAGCTTATGAACTCACCAACTTAATTGTTGACACTTTTTCGAAATTACTTGTATTCTCAGCAGATCAGTGAAACAAGAAATCAACAGCTTTTGAGGATGGGATGTTGAATCGTCAAACATTTTATTTTTGTCATCATAGTGTAATTGATTTTGAAACATGTAAACTCATACTATAGTGTAATTTTTTCAATTATATTTATGATGGTTGTATTTACTTTGAGCACTATTATACTCGTTGTTGTTATACTATACATGAAGTCCGCCACCCCCGGACGTTTCCGCCATCCTTGGTTTGGGGGTGTGACATAAATGATTTGATTTTAATAAATATTATTTCATCTATTGTTCAAATTAATTATTATTTTACATTAACTAAATGCAATAATTATTATTTTATAGTTAATATAAATTACATAAATATTTTCAATAACATATGATTACCAAAAGTTTAACTGGATAATTTTATTTCGCACAATGCGTGGATATTTGTCTGGTATTTACTTAAATTAGTTCTGAACTTAAATAAAATTCAAAATATGAAAAAAAAATCCCAATTAACAAATACAAATAAATCATTCAAATAACATTAAAAACCTTCAATTTTTAAGTAACATGACTCCCACTTCCACCAACACCACTTTCACTTTCGACACGACTTTCATCTCTATCATCAATATTCTCCGTCTTGATGGCTCCATATAGGTCCTCAAGTTGGACATCCATTTTTTTTAAATTACTAAAATTAAAATGACTTATTAGTGAAACGAGAAACGTTACATACGAGGCCAAGGCCATAGAGAATTAATGTATTGTCGGCCTCAAGATTCAAGAATAAGATGACAATTAGTGTTGCACTTTAAAAATATAAATATCATTATAATTTATAAATTAGTAATTAAATTGTTAATGTAAATTATATTGAATATATATAAAAGTTAAATGGGTTAGTGAACTGAAAACATGTTGATAACTTTTACTCAACTCGGCCTATTTAATAAGACGATCTAGATGGGTTGATTCATGTAACTTAAACGGGTTGAAATCTCAACTCATCCACTTTATTTTGCATTTTCTTTGGGTTAGAAATGGATTGGTGGATTGGATCCTTTTTTATTGACTCTATTTCTATTTACTTTATTGTAAGTCACAGAAAAGTTCCTACTAATAAAGTATTGTACTATCAAAAAAATTGGATTACCATCTAATAATTTTTTACATAGCATGTGAATCATGCCTTATTGTACAATGAGCATAGCATAGAAAACATGTAACAATATTTGTAGTTGTTTTTCGCTACAACAACCACTAAAGTTTGTGTAGAATCAATTGAGCACCATGTTGAGGTTGTAGAGTGAGGATAGTATGTGGAGCATGTGCGTACAATGGAGAAATCTCGAAGGAGAAACCTTTTAGAATCATAACGAGTGCCAATTTTGCTTCCAGCATAGCAAAGTTTTGCCCGATACACATACGTGGACCACCTCCGAAAGGGAAGTATGATGCTTGTTCCTTTGTTGCCTTTGACACACCTTCTGCAAATCTCTCAGGCTTGAACTCGTGCACATCATCCCCCCAAACATCACTATCATGATGTAAAAGCATCATGTGCAAGTAGAGGAGTGAACCGGCTGGTAAGATTATATTTCCTAATGTAGTTTCTTCACGAATCATCCGTCCCTATATTTCCTAATGTAGTTTCTTCACGAATCATCCGTCCCAATCCTGTACCAGCTGGGTATAACCTAAGTACCTCGTGAAATATCATATTAATCTGCAAAATAAATAATTACTACATAACTCTTGTTAAGTACAATAATAAAAAAGTGACGAGGAATGTAATCATGTTTTCTTTTATTTTTTGTGTTAAAATATTTTGATTGACCAGGTTTAAAAACAGTTTGATAAATCCAATCACAAGAAGAAAAAAGAACTTACAGCTTTTACATGACTTAATCCGTCAATATTTGGCTTTCTTTCTCCGAACACCTTTAAAACTTCATCTCTAGCACGGTCTTGCCAGTTTGTGTGTTGAGCTAACAAAATCATTGTCCAAGCGAGAAAATTTGCAGTAGTTTCTTGCCCCGCAAAATAGAAAAGTTTACATTCTTGAATGACTTCTTCGGTACTAAGTCCGAACTTGGTGTTCCCTTGTTGTTTGATTTCTTTGTAATTGGAATCCAATAATATGCCCAATAAATCGTCGCTACTACCTTCCCCGACTTTCAATTTTGTCACTCGTTTATTAATAATTTTATTTATTGTAGCCTTCACTTCTCTGTCAATCTCCTTCATCCTTCTATTTTTCTTTGTAGGCAAAAATCTACAAATTCATAATTGAATAATTAAACAACATTAAATTCATCGTTATTGGAACGAATAGGAGGCTAAAACCAAAATTATTGACGGAAAGCTTGCTCACCGTGAACCTGGAATATACAATGATTCTAGAGCCTTGAAAACTAGCGCTGCTTGTTCTATTTGAAGTTCGAATATCTTTCTTCCTTCTTGATAGCTACTACCAAATGTTGTACGTGAAATTACATCACTAGTAAAGGTTTGGAGATGAGGATACACATCCACTTCACATGATGTTTCTTTCGTTAATTCTTCCCATTTGTTGATCATCTCACTACAGCTAACGTAAAAAGCAGGTAACATATGCTACAAATATGGAACATTGACGAAATCAGTAGTTTATAATTACATATTGGCACTTTTGCTCAGATAATATATTAAGAACATGAACCTTAAGCTTTTCGACATGGAAAGCCGGATTGATAATCTTTTTATGTTTTGCCCATTGATCAGCCTCAACATATGCTAGCCCTCTTGCTAGCAACTTTGTTAACGGATTTCCACCTTTCAGCTTTGGAAACCGAGAATAATTGGCCAAAATCTCTTGTATTAGTGCAGGTTCTGTTATGTGTATCATAGGTAGTGGGCCCATCCATGTATAGAAATTCTTTCCTTTACCTGTACATAAATATTTTCACTCTTCCATAAAACACGAGTTTTTCAACCATAAGATCCAATAGCTTTACTTTTTTTTCACTACATTTTAGATGAAAAACTATTTACTTTTTTTTTTCACTACATTTTAGATGAAAAACTATTTACTTTTTTTTTCAAGAAAAAGTGATTCATATTTAAAGAAATTTTCAGAAAAGTCATTAATGTCTATAAATGTTTTTAGAAAAACCATCTATATTTCAATAAAATTTCATAAATGGTTTATAAATTTGACCAATCAAATGTTCAAAGTCTGAAATTTTGATATGGTTTGTAGGTAATATCAATATGTAATACAAGGGCGGAACGTACCTGATTTTTTTATGTTCTTATACCTAAAATATATGTGTATAGATGTAGTTTTATTTATTCATAACTACTCGACCTCTCCAGATTCATAATACATCTTTATAAATGCAACTCAAGAAAACTATTTATTTTATATTATTTAGTAATTAACTTCAAAAAAGCTTGAAAATCAATATTATATCGTTATCTCGTTAGATATTGGAATAATAGGTAAGGAAAATAAATAAGTAGTTAACAAAAGCTCCAAAAATTACTGAAAACCCAAACAAATCCTATAAAAATTAGGATACAGGTTGATTAAGGAAACAAAAGCTCTATATGAAAACCAAAAAAGTATTCAAATGTAAAACTTATTGTTTAGAAGAAAAAAAAACCCCCGCTAAGATGTGTACACCTCCATCCGACTTTTCATCAGAAAATATGGTGGCTGCCTTCGGAGTGCTAACTGATCCCTTTCTTCTCTCTGCATTCGGTGACCTTTCTGCTCTTTTGGTCTCTCCTCTCTGTCGTACGCTGAAATGGAACACTGACTAACGACCGCCGTCAACGATGCGCTTTTTATCTCTCCTCTTTGTTGTTCGCCGATCTACAAATCCGACCAGCAGCCTCCGAGGCTGTGAGTTCTTCGTCTCTCATCCCCGCTAGATCTGTAAATTCTTTCTCTTTTTCTCATTATTTTTCCCCTCCCCCTTCCTAGTTTCTATCACTAGATTAATAGAACTTAGATATGATAAAATTTGAATGACACATTAGGTTATTAGCTGTCAAAGTACTATAACGCTGTAAAAAGGGAGAATGCTTTAATATTAAATTGTTATTTAATTAAACAAAAGAATACCATAAAGTTTTATAGAACAAAATTTTTTAATATATAATTATAAGTCAAAATACCAATCATATACTATACATGACCTTCCTGTCGGTTTTTGTTAAAAATCTTATATAGATAACTTTGTTAAAAATCTTATATAGAGTCAAAAACTTACAAATAAGTATTTTGAATAACTATGTTTGTTTAAAAGTTATTTTGCTATATTTATTATTAATGGTTAACGATAGCAGTTATTATAATTTTGTAATAGTTTCGAAACAAATTAAACATTTTTATATTATTTTATAGTAATAGTCGTTATTATAATTTTATAATAACTTCGAAACAAATTAAACTTTTTTATATTGTTTTGAGACTTTGTCTTAAAGTTTTGGTTTCGGCCCCTCCGGTGATAATGTGTTCGTGTTCCGCCCCTGATGAATAACAAAGTAATGATATAGACCTAATATTGGTATGTGTAAATGGCCTTTTTGGAGATAGCTACGTACGCACTAGACTTAAATTGATCATGTATGATGTATGTAATAAGTAAAAACAGCAACATGCTTTCCTGAAATTATAAAGACAACTAAAAATAGTTCATAAGGCAAGGGATAGTTATTAAAAAGATTATAAAGACGACTAAAATATCAATGTACTTTGATCCCACCCGTGAAACCCTTTCAAAATATTTCAAGTCTTATATGCATTTGATCATCTACAGAGATTATTTAATGGACGCATGATGTTTCAAAGATCCGATTACACCTTCTTGCACATGATATAGGAGTTTTTAACCAAAATGGGGTTATTGAAAAAAATATTTACCAATCTAGTATAGTATGAAAATTATTTACTAAACTAGTGTTTTTCTTCATTTTTTTTTATTTTTCAATATTTCTTATTGTTTTTCTATTTATTAAAAAATC